AGCTGGAAAAAGTCTGTTCCATGGGAGGTCACAGGACTGCCTGTCCACTCCATTAAAAGCTGTACTCCTTCAAAATTTCTTAGACACAATAAATGATCCCATCCTTCATCAGAATGAGTGCACTCCCAGGTGCCTGCAAGGAGGATTGCCTAATCATGTCACAAAGAGTCTGGCACCTGACTGATCACAGAGAAACTGTACAGCAGGGCAGTAGTCTTCCTGATACTGCTCTCTCCTTTCCAAGTGGAGAGCAGATACTCACAGATGGCTGCCTTGAGCTGCATATCTCCTGTCCTTTTTCATTTCCAAGCCATCAGGCCTGCAAGGCTCAGCAAGCACTGAGCCTTGAGGCGGGTGCTGGCCACAGGACTATGGCAGCATCAAGCATCAGCTTTCTGCCCTTCCCCTGCTCAGCAGCCACACTTGAAAGGCGAGAGAGGCAGTATTGCAAAGGCCAGAAAAATACAACCACACAGGTAGAGAAAAGGTTGGGATAAGTGAGGGGCTTGGACACTGCGTGCAGCACTCAAGGGCTGCCACTGTCTGCTGCTTGGCTCTGCCACAGCAGAACTGGGGCCTGGTGAAGGGACTATCCCTGATGGTGGCACACCACAAACTCATGTTTTCTCACACTGCCCATACAACTTGGACTGCATTTCCTCTTCAGTTTTTCTTGTTAACCCAGTTTCAGATTCCCTTTTCTTCTTGGGGTCCTGTATGTAATGCTGCAATGAAGAGAGTGTCCTCAAGAAATGGGACATGATGCATTCTTTCAAGGTGATTCTAGCACTGAGAAGACTCTGGATTACACCCATTTTGTCAGGAAGTGTAGAGAGAATGGAAATAAACAGCAGCTTCTGAAAAGGGTTAAAGCCAGGATGGACAACTCTCAGGTCACTTGTCTGAGTTGGAGAAAATGCCTGTCATGGCAGGAGCCAACTGAGAAAGGCAGAGCTCACTGCTTGTAAGGGTATCACCACTGCCAGTATGCTACAAGTAATCTGGAAAGGCTTCTGCTTAAAGCTGAAAACTCAACAGAAACCAGTCTGCAGTCTATCATGGAGTCCTTGTATCTGCTAAGGGAACAGAGTATGACTCCTCACAGATGTCCCATTTCTTCTGCAGTGGAGGAAAACGAAAGTAGTTTACCCTGTCCCATGCCCTGAGGCTTTTGGATGACCATATCTTCTGAGAGCCTGGAATACTGTGTTCTTTTAGTTTACTAGTGATGGGTAGTCTATAATGACATGAATCATTTGATTTGCATAGTGTAACACCATCTCTTGCCAGGGATAAAATTTGATCATATCACATTTGACGTCACATGATGTTTGTTCTTATTCATTGCCCCCCATATCTTAAAACCATCCTTCTCCAGAAGTAAGGAAGATGTAAGGACACCTCACACTTGCTTGATTTCAATATCTTGTCCTCCACCAACCACTCTGTGCTGTTGACCTCTAGCTCTAGACTGGATTCACAAGCACTCCCCATAAAAGAGCGTGTCTGATTCTTAGGTCCCAAGCACAAACATATAATGAAGATATACTAAGGCTCTGGTCAGTGTACCCTGGGATCTTTGAAGGGAAATGTACAAATGTGTCCTGTGCTTTGAAGGCATTTAAGTAAGACAGATCCAGAGGAACAAATGCTGCACAGTGGAACGGTATAGATGGATACTTACTGACTCCAAGACGTGAACTGGCCTGGAAACCACAATGCAGAAAACAGCCAGAAGTCAGCCCTTCTCCCAGACTCCACTCCCTTACAGGCTTCCAAGTGATGATATTGTAGTCTGAGTTAGGCAGAGTTTGCTGTGCTGGCCCTTGCAGGATCACAGGGTGTGTGACACTGACCAGGCTGGGGCACAGCCAGAGGCAGAAGAGGCATGCTGGAGACATGAGCCAAAAGTACAGTCTGTTCTGTTCTACAAACTTTAAAATTTTGAGGTTACCATACACAATTCTTGTAAATGTTCCATCACCTGCTCAAAAATCTTGTGACAGCTGCTACATACACCCTGTCCTAAAGCATAAACCAGAGGCATTCAATTTAACATGCTGCTCAGGTGATTAAAAAACACCACCTCACAAAACAGCTTATTCAGGAACAAATTATGTATGTGTCACTGCTCTCTGCAATAAATGCAGAAGTTTTATAGTGCATTTTTTTAAAAACTTGACTTTGAGGGTTTTTTGTAATATCATTTAACCAAAATTTTATGTTCATGATTGCTTCCTACAATACACAATGTAAATGGAGAAGAAATATGGGGGGAGTTACATCGCTAGCAGGAAAAAAAAAATTATAAATAAAATGTGCTGGAAGTAAAACAGATGGTTGGCACCTGGTGGTCCTTTATAATCCTGGGTGACAGAACTGATCCTACACTTGGAGAAGGAAAAAAAGGAAGTGAAACTTGTCTGTATCACTGTTACACTTGGGCTGCTTTAGGGTTCTTGACATTAAGTAAAACAGATGGTTGGCACCTGGTGGTCCAACAGGGTGACAGAACTGATCCTACACTTGGAGAAGGAAAAAAAGGAAGTGAAACTTGTCTGTATCACTGTTACACTTGGGCTGCTTTAGGGTTCTTGACATTATAGGGAGTGGGATTTCTAGCTATGCCTAAACTGAAGGTCACTCCTAGCTCCTCAGCTGTCCACATCCCCCAGTGCTGCTCTTTTCCCAGAGCCTGGAGGACGTTGTGCATGTAGATCAGACTATCAGCACTACCCATCCTGGGTGGGCACAGTAAGGTACTCACCACCTCCCAAGCAGAGCCAGAGCACAACAGCAGCCTCTGCTGCTCTGTCTTGCACCTTCTCAGAGTGCTGAAAAGCAGAAAGCTGTGTGGTCACTCCTTGTCTCTGCATGGCCTCCCTGCTTCTGAAACAGTGAGTGTGGATCCACGCAAGGCACTGCATCATAAATTGCTGCCTGAGCAAGTGGACACTCCCTGCACACAGGCTCCCTGGCTGGCATGTTTGTGACTCTCCAAACAATTTTGGTGCAATGATGTCTTGATCTGGTCTTGATCTCTGTAACTCTTCCTAGCAATATAGTCTCAGAACTAAGATGCCATAGCTGTCAGTCATCGACAATTCATCTTTCCCACAAAGCTATTGGATGTGACAGTAAACGCTCACCTTCAGCTAAGCCCATTCTGAAAAATTACTTGAAGGCAAATTGTTGAAAAACAGGCAGGCGGTTGCAAACTGGAACAGTGAGACCAGTGCCTGTGCTGATTTGCCTACGGTATGGATACAAGGTCACATAGTAGGAGAAATGAGGAAAAAATCAGCATATCATGCATAATGGGATAATTTTAATAACAAAATTGCTGATTTTCACCTCTTATTCCCAAAGATCCATTTGGCCAACCTGGAACCTGAGCTCCTCCTCCACAGGCTGTTCTTAGGTTGTGCTGGTACTTTTTGATACCACACACAGGAAGGTCACTTCATTGGTCACCTCCCAAGGAAATACTACACTGAGCAAAGCAAGGGAAGGATAGAAGCCAGCACTGCTTTTTTACCAACTGCAATAAACTTGCAAAGAATTTGTGTCCACTCCCACAAACCTTCTGCAGCAAGGGGTGAGAGAAGGGGTTCAGATTAAGGAGTGATTCAGTGAAGGGGAGCTCTTATGCCAGAAGCATGACTTTCCATGCCAGAATGATAGTTCTGAAGGACGAGGCACTACTGCCATAAAAAGCACAAGAGGGAGGATACTGAGACCACTGGTGCAGAAGTAGCTCTTCTCGTGTGTTGTACGCATAGTGAGTACAATTCCAGCGTATTCTACAATGTCTCTACTCCTACAAAAGTCCAGGAGCAACAAGAGCATTTTAAATTTGCCACATTTGCAACCGAGTGCTGTTTTTTCATCATACAAATTGTCACTAGATGGATTACATGTCAGGTTTTGGAAGGTCATACGCACCATCCCCTTTCAGAAGCACCTACCACTTATTTATGTACTGAGCACTCAGCCAAATTGTTTTCATGTTACCCCAGAATAATGAGCCCCTGTAGCCATCTACCATTTATTTATGTACTGAGCACTCAGCACTTAGCCAAATTGTTTTCATGTTACCCCAGAATAATGAGCCCCTGTAGCCACACTTCTGCAGGTGAGCACACAAATATTATCAGCAAGTGCTATAACATTTACCATGTCTGCAATAGCATTCATATAACACACAAGAAACATGTTATAAAGTCTGTGCCGGATGCTCTTAGCAGCTTATCAGAGCCACTACCCTAAAAGCATTCTCAAATAGAAGTGAAAAAAAGTTGCTATTTCTATAGTTCATGTACTTAAGTGCAAGAACTGCATACATGACTTATAGCCCTTTGAATACTATAGCAATCGATGGATTTATACCATCTTTAGAACACCATGCCTGAACTTCTCCCTCACAGATCTGCAAGTGTCCTTGAAACGCGTGGCCACTGAGTGTATCTACTGTTTCTTGACATGAACTTTCCATACGTAATAGAATTTCCATACTCACAGAAAAGTTCCCACCAGAGTGCTTTCTAAGTGAAGTACTTGGAAGAAGGTATCTGTAAGATGTCAGCGAAGCATCAAAATTTAAAAGTGAATTGCTTCTTTAATCAGTTTCCAAAGGACTAATCCTACTTCAGATACCAGCTATTTTATGTTGTATACTTGAAAATTCTAAAGGTTCAGGAATGGACAGAGTAGTCCATAAACACCATTTCATTTATAGTAACAATGCTTACGAAATCCATGAATTTTGGGAATTAATAACATCAGAGAAGATGCACATGATCTCAACTGCTCTCTGTTTCACTCTCTGTTCAAGAAGTACTCTGAATATCATCATTTTGTTCAAATATAAGAAGCTCTTAATTACAGTTTTAATTGATTAATTTATTTAATTGATTGAATGTACTTAACTACATGTGTTCAGAGGGAAAACATTCTGTGTGAATAATTATATGCTACATTAAAAAAAAAACAGTCATTTGTTTCCACTGCACAATTTATTCAGTTTCAAATTAGAAAAAAAAAGTACTATGTATTGGACAATTTGCATGCATAAACTCAAAACATTTAATCTCAAAAAATTATTGATTTCTTCCAGTCTTGTATTAAGGCGTTCAGGAATTTCACCTAGGCAGACAAATATCTGGATTCAAAAAAAAACAAAACAAACCAATCAAAACAGACAAGTTACAAGTCAGATTTACTTCTGTTAACAAATATGACCACAGTGAGTCCTGGTAGTAGACAGTTGCATTCCTTATCTTTTCATTGTGTATAGCTGATAGGAGTCAAAGTGATTGGGGAAGAGTTATCTTCAACAAAGTTTCTTCAACAGTTTCTTGATTTGGAGTGCTGAATAAGCCATTGTAATGTTATGTCTGTGGGGACAGATGAAACAAAATGAAAAACTCAACAGTCTCTTTGCAGAGCACAGAAGCACAACAAAACACCAGCAGGTTAATACACATACAAAAACCCCAACCAAACAAAACCCACAGGTTGTCATTCACACATAACTGAAGTTCACAATGTCAACCTCCAGGTGGCCTTTTATTTTTGTATGGTTTTAAATCATGTGCATTTTGTATTTTTTCAAATACAACATGAAGTTCTCGAAGCCATAGATAGATAAGGAACTGTTGAAAAAGCAAACATTTAAGATGACCATAAAACAAACTGTAAAATCCAGACTAGAATGAAATGCTGAGTGAGAACAAAGGCAAATACACAAACAGAAGGAAGGAGAAGGGCAAACATCTAACAATATATTAAGAAGCCATTTAGGTAGGTTGTAGGAGTCCAAGGTCTCTGAAAGACATGCAACATTGGACTAAAATTTGATAGCTGAAATTGGCACCCCTCCTGATGCAATCCAATGCACTGAGCTGAAAACTGCAGCAGTTCACAAACTGATTCATGAGCAGATTAGATTTTTTTGCCTCAAGGCAGTAACATCTGTCAGGAAGGCAGGAAGGATGTCAGGGGGCAGCAGCAGCTTTAGTCCTCAAATTGAAATTTGTTGCCATATTTGTCTTAAGTTCAAGACAGCACTCCATGAATATCCTTGCAGACCAGCTTAGGCTCTGAGACTGCAGAAAAGATCAACCCACTATTTATCAAAACTAATAACTACAATTATCTTCCACAGTCTCTCAGGACACAGTAACTGGCAGCCTTACACCTACACCTCCTGATGAGAACAGTTAGCTAGGCTGCAGTTCACACTGAAATACCAGTGTCATCTCATTCAACTTCACTGACATCAGTCAAAAATGCAGAGGAAGAAGTCAGCTGCCAGTCTTCTCCTTAACAGACTAATAGTTTCATCACTTTAATAAGAAAGCATAACAGTCTTTCTTTGTATATGGTACTTTCCAGCCATTTGGTCTCCCTCGCTTCTCACCCAACCTCTTTCCTCAAGGTCTTCTCAAATAACAAGCACATGGTGCTCCAACAGTCTGAAATGGTATACACAGTGGGCTCCCATTTTTTATTTTGTTTTTGGCAAATATTCAAGAACCTGACTAGTCTTTCTAGGCACAACATTACACTGGAAGATACCTGACCAAGTCTCAGTTAGGATTTGAGCCTTTTTTGTCACTACTCCCAGAACTTTCACAAGTAAGGGATCTATAATGTTCTGCATTAATGATCATTCTTTCATGCAAATTTTATCATGCTTTTTGCTGCATGCTTTTCTCCTCCAGGCATCCAAATAAATGGACTGGGATCAAAATCTATTTTCTCCATGAGTCTTTCAGAAATTAATCTGGTTTTACTAGTTTCCAGTCACAATCCCACTTTTAAGAATCTCCACTGCAGCCCTGCCAATTTGATGAGGATCAAGAACAGCATTTCAAAAACCTCAATTACATTCACTGCCCTTCAACTACTGAGATTATCCTGTGTTGTCTTCTACAGTTCTTATCTCCTGAAGTCTAATCTTCCCCAGTGCAGCAGCACCTTCTGTGCATCTCCCTCACTCAGAGGTAACAACTGCACCCCAAGCTACAGCAAACATGGGTCTGGTCTCCTTCTAACATACCCAAGTCATCTACACCACTTGCAGGAGAAGCCCTCACTGCCTAACACATCTCTGCACACAGATGAACTGTCCCCCAGCTCACTGAAGTCCAGGTGCCATGGTACAGTCTCCTCACCATCTCCACTACCTGGTTCTGTCTGTGTAGGTTGGAAATTTCCCCAGATGCTGAGAGAAAGTGGCTATCTTCCTATTCCTACTCTCACAGTCCCTACAGAGCTGCCCAGCTCTTCTATCAAGTCTGGTTTCCTCACAGAGCAGCTAGAAATATCTAGCCAAGCTAGATCCCATCCCATCCAGCACCACTTGTTTCAGCAGCATGCAGAGAAGGGTGGCACAGAGGTAGCATACCCCCAGACAATTGCTGCTGCTGCTAGCTTCATCCCTTCTCTTCCTCCTGCCCTGTGGAGGGAAGGGAGTGGGAGAAAATGACAGAGGAAAAGGACAGGAAAGTGGAAGGTAGCAGAGAGAGAAAAGGCAAAAAGCAAAGGCAAATGGAAGACAAGTTCATGGGGATAGATCTTCACTGACTACAGGATACACTCATTGCATTTCCACTTGGAAAAAACACTCATCCCTTAGTTTGAGGAACAGCCACATGCTCAGAAAACCATGTATTAAATAAATCATCAACATTTTTTAGGATCACCTAATAACTGGAAGGCCATCATCACACAGCTACTGTTTTTTCAAAAGTAACACAGGTTTCTTGTAAAGGATTCAATTACTCCAGGCTTTAAATACACTTTTCCAAGATCCCTGTCAAATTAACTTCTCATGGAAGTTAAATAAATAACTAAATATTTCTACAAGTTTTTTTCTTAATTAAACATATTTCTATGTTGAAACAAATACAGTGGCATACAATATTTGCAAAGTACCATTCAATGTAAATTTGCAAAGTATCGTTCAATGTAAATTGAGATCTATTGAGATCTTCAATAATATAGTGGAGGTAGATGTTCAAACCTGATCTGATCCAAAGTACAAACTGATGACACTAGAAGCTGCTTACCTATGTTATCCCTCTCTTTACAGGAAATAGAATAGCAACAGATTTCTCTGTCTTGAATAGCTGCAAGATTTCTAGAGAAACAAAAACAGTAAGTACTGTTATAACCCCATAAACACTCAAAACAGAAATTTCCATTAAATTATGTTTTCTGCTTTTTACTCAGTGGGTTCAATTCTATTCTCAGATGTTAAATTCTTAAAATATGCCACTGCACACAGAAAACCACACATTTCTTAAACTATAAGAATTAAAAGGTTATAAAGTCATTTCACAAAAAATTTGCATTTCTCATTAGGTCAGAGTACTAGTGAGGAAAAAAACACAGAAATCCATAAGCTAAAAATAACGTTCTGTGGTTGCAACCAAGTATTACCCATGTCTTATGATTCATCTTCTACTCTTTTCACTTAGAATTCTGAGTTTTTTTATCCAGTAAATCATAATAAAATATCAGTGCTCAAATGATCACACCATTTATCTTCAGGATGTTTACTATATCGTACTTAATATATCACATCTGACTCCTACTGAAAGGATGCCTCTATATTTAGGAAGAAACTGATTCTCAATCAACTTCTTTCTGGGAATTCTCCAACCCCCCTCAGAGCTCCTGAACACTTTGTTATTTTTCCATTTACTTATCCCCACACAACTGACACAGACATGCATAAAAAAATTTCCTGAAGCACGTGGGAAGTGAAGGCACTGAGAAGTCTGAAGCCCATACAAGAGCAGTAAAGAAAAGAACTAAACAGGGACGACCCTGGAAAAGTCCCATGTAGTTAGGTCCTGTAGCAAAGAAGGGCTAAAGAAAGCCAGTTAATATTCAAAATTCATCTCCAAATCTAAGAATAACCTATCCTAACTAGCCTGGAAAAAAAGCCAAAAGACATTAAGTAGATGAACAATAAGCTCTTGGCAAAACCCAGTAATTAAAAGGAAGCATACAGAAGGTTGAAGCAGAGACAGGTAACCTGGGAGGAATACAGAAACATTGTCCAAGAATGCAGAGACACTGGCAGGTCAGCCAAGGCCCAGCTGAAGCTGGATCTCATGAGAGATGTCAAAGAAAATGAGAAAGTGACAAATGGAAGACAGAAGAAAATGTGCACCCACTGCTCCATGAGACAGGGGACCTGGTTACCCAGGACATGAAAATGCTGCCTTAGCTAGCAAGATTAGCCTTCAGAAACCCCAGGCCCCAGAGATCATGACTAAGAGCAAAGAAGTGGTACCCTTCCTTCATGTAAGAGGATCTAATCAGGTAATAAATAAGCAGACTTGATATGGAGAAGTCCATCAGCCATGGTGGGAAGCACCTACAAGTGATAATGGAACTGGCTGATGTCATTGTGAGGCCCCTTTGAACAACCAAGTCAACTGGGAAAGGTGCCTATGAGCACAGGAAGGCAAATATCACTCTTCAGAAAAAGGAGGACCTGGGAAAGTACATGACAGTCAGCCTCACCTTGACTCCTGGGAAGGTGATGATGCAACTAATCCTAGAAACTATTCCCAGGCATGTGACAGACAAGAAGGTGACCAGGAGTAGTCAGCATGGATTCACAGAAGGGAAATAATGTTTGACTAACTCAATAACCTTCTACAAAGAAATCTACAGTTTGGTAGATGACGGGTGAGCAACAGATATTGTGCACCTTCAGTTGATTAAGGCTTTGACAGTGCCTTCCATAATATCCCCATAGACAAGGTGAGGAAGTATGGGTTGAACACACAGGTGGCAAGGTGGACTGAAGACTCGCTGAACACTGGGTGATCAGTGGCATGAAGGCAAGCTGGAACCCAGTGACTACCAGTGTACACCAGAACCAATACTGGTCCACTCCTGTTCTACATCTTCATTTGTTGCGAATGAGGAGGCAAAGCACAAATTTGCTGATGACAGAAAACTAGGAGGAGTGGTTGGTACACCAGAGGGTCTTGCTGCCATCCAGAGAGACCTCCACAAGCTGGAGAAAAGAGATGGCAGTGGACTTCATGCAGTTCAACAAAGGAAAAGGCAAAGTCCTGCACCTGGGGAGAAACAACCCCAGGCACCAGGACATGTCAGATGCCAACTGTCTGGAAAAGCAGCTTTGCAGGAAAAGGACCTGGGAGTCTTGGCAGGTCACCAGGTTGAACACAATCAAGCAGTGTGGTAAAAATGCTAATGGTATTCTGGGGTGCATTAGGAGTGCTGCCAGCAGGCTGAAGGTGATCTTTCCCTTTTACTCAGCACCAGTAAAGCTGTACCTGACCAGCTGTGGACCATCAGTACAAGAGGGATATGAATCTATGGAACAGGGTCCAATAAAGGACAACTAAAATAATGAGTAACTCACAGACTAAGAAAGGCTGAAGAGCTGGGACTGTTTAGCCTAGAGAAGAAAAGGCTTAGGGAACTTCTTATTAATGTATACAAAACTCTGAAGGGAGCCTGTAAAGAAGATGGAGCCCAGTGATAGGACAAGAGGCAATGGCCATGAACTGAAACACAGGAAACACACAGAAACACTTTTTACTTCTGCGAGTTACCAAGCACTAGCAAAGGCTGCCTAGAAAGGCTGCAAAGTCTCTATTCTCAGAGACATTCAAAAGCTGTCTGGACATGGTCCAGAGCAATCAGCTCCAAGGGGCAAAAGTGTCTGCAAAAGCAGGTAGATGACTTCAAGGTTCCTTCCAACCTCAGCCATTCTGTGAGCCCTATTTAGTAGCCCTGTCTTTGGACCACCCTTACTATAGCAGAACTTCACTTTCTACTAATTAAAATTATGTGACTTGTGAATCCTATTTTACAAAATTAGTGTTATACTGGTAATTTTTACAAAATTGTGTATTTTCTTCACACTTACATTTACTATGCATCCATCTCTTAGTTTCAGTAATCCCTAAGTTATGCTTTGGCATAAATATGGCAAAAATACCTGACTTGCATGAATTTACCAACACTAGATTGATATGGTCCTGTTCTAATGCCATTCAAGCATTAAATTGCACTGCATTGTACTGCAAGAAGTCAAAATGACCCTTTCACTACCCCTAGCAGCTCTTTCCTCAGTGATGGGAAAAGAGGATTATCTGAAATAACTCTGCACAACCAAACAACAATAAAGAGAGATTCAAATCTACAGTTATCAGCCTAGATCACTACATCAGGCGCCAGCAGAGCTTGAAGTGGAATATCTGAAAATGCAAAATAGCATCTTTTATAGTTATTGTCATAGACTACCAATAATTTGACTTACATATCAAACTTCACAGTGTCTCAGCATTTTACAAAAGCCAGCTACTTACAATTTCTCAATTAACTGCTTCTCATCCAGTGCACCTGGGAGGTCTCGTTTATTTCCAAGAACTAACACCTGAAAGAAATAATTCATATACCTATTAAATCCAGGAGAAATGAAATTTTGTCTGTAACTTTTTGATGGCATTATTCTGAATCTTGCAGCTATTTAGACTGTAACAGAGGACATATTCAAAATGACCAATGACTGTGGGAACATCACGGAAATCCTGCTCCTAGTCAGGACCAGATGCTAGATGCATATCCTCTGAAAACTGGATCAAATTATTTCTGAGTGTGTTAGTATCAAAAATCTCCTCTGGAAGTGAATCCCTCCATTCTGGGTGGCATTACAGGATGGTGTCAGATTAAATGCAAAGAAATGTGGAAGACAGCACACATCAGGTGCATTCAAGCCACCAAAGGATATTCGGTTCAGAGGACCAGACTGATGTTAATCAAAAGTAGGGCTCCAGCAGCAGAGGCTGGTCCTAAAGACCCAGACAAAATTCTCTCTATGATTTTTTGCTCCCTTGTTTCTTAACACTGATGCACTGAACAGCTCAGCCTCTGAACCAAGTACCACTTAGGCACCAGCCACCTCTCTGTCCAGTTTGAGCATCCATGGTAAAAATCTGAAAGCCAACTATTAGGAATTAAGTCCCAGAAATGCAGAAAATTTACCAAATAGATGCTGGAACTTCGGAATTCTATTTAAGGCTTCAAGTATAAATGAAGGTCAGATAAACGGGTTGAGCACACTCTAAGATGAAGTAAGCAATGGAAGGTTTTTCTAGTTATGATTGCATTATTGTTTTCCAGATGTGCTACAATTCTAAGACTGTCCCATTATATCCCATGAATCTGGAACATATTACACTCATTACTTGCAGTAATTTAGATTAATAAAGTTGCTCTAAAATCTATAGTGCCAAATCCTGAGCACAATAAATTGAAGGAAGTTCAATACTAATTACTACATATGAAATAAAAGTAAGTAAAAAATACATCACTGCACCTTGGAAATTACTGTGTGGGTCAGCCTGGGCATTATGGAGTGTGATATTATAACATATGAGAGGCAAGGAACTTAATTAAATACTAGTGAAGATATGAGAGACCAATCATTTCAGCAAGGAAAAGTGAGAAGCAAAAGAGCACGCAAAGAGAGTGCAAAGGACAGGCAATGTCACTCCCCATGAACAGCGTAACTGTTGAGTTCCGTAGGATTTGTTCAATAGATAATTAACATATAAAATCACAACAAAAATAGCAAACCTTACAAAAATGGTGAATCACTTGAAAAACTCTCCTTTGAGAATAGTGGAAGGAAAGTAGGGAGAGAAAAAGGGAGACTGACTTCATGCTGGAGGTACCATTTTTATACAGACCAAGTCCCAGGTATCCAAGGGGTGTAGATGCCATTCCCATAACTGATGGCATGTGTACAAACACTTCTTTTCCCACAGTTTGCCGTGGTGGCAACATTCAGATAGGCAGCATGTTCAGATGCTAACTAAACATTCAGCTCCATTAGGCTGGAATTAGCTTCTGCCTGCTGTGGCATCTGTGCTTATCTCAAGTTCCTGCTGTGGTGACATATCTTATGGGAAGTTTCTTCTGTGGCTTTGACAGTGTTTTGACACACTTCAAGTGCATTCTTTAAGCCCTTACACTGTCCACTCACCCTCAGGTAACTTTGATTACTTGTAGTGGCCAAGTGTCCAAATTACTGCCTACAAAAAACGGAGCCAAGGAAGAGCCATCAAGTTGTAACTTCTTCCTCATTTTTATGGATACAGGACTGTTTTCTTTCTTATAATCAAGGTATGAACTCTTGTTTGGTGACATCAACATAAAGACCAGTGACAACCTGATGGATTTTTAAATTGGCAGATTACATTTAAACAAACAACATTAGTCTCTATCTTCGCATTCCTCATTAGAATTTCAGCTGAATACACTATTCTTTGACACTTCCAACTGGAGAACAGATGCATATTTGCATTTTTTCCACACAATTTAGTTTGAAATACTAAGTCAAGAAAAAGTCAGGACAAATAAAGAAAGCTCCTACACAATGTCTGGAGGCAGAGGACACTACTTGATGTTACTGTCTGCCAACCTGCAGAAACACTCATCTCCCATAAGATAACTGGCAGAAACATACCTGGGTCATTGGCTGAAACCCAGCCAACAAGGGACTGACTGGAAGTAATTACTGTCTGATAATGCCACATGTGAAAACACAATTTTTCGAAATATTTTCTGACCTTTAGACAAGAAAATGTACAAACACAAAGCAGTGCTCCTAAGTTGCTGAGTACTATAAAAAAAAATCACAGTAATTTTTCTAAGAGTGCTCAATGTATCAAGGCTGCATCATATATAACCTAGTACTTTTAAGAGACCAGAGAAACCAACTCAGGAGGATTTAGGCCACATTGTCAACATTCAGGCAAGAACAATAATGAAAATACTTACTGGAATTCCATGCAATTGTGGCTTATCTATCAAACTATGAAGCTCATTCTTTGAAGCTTCTACTTTTTCTAAGTCTGCTGCATCCACCATGTAACTGCAACAAAGAATAGTTATTTATGGTATTGACCATTACCTGCTGAAATTTGCATTTAAAACATCTGAAATGTGACAAAATGTTGATATTGGCAAGAGCATTAGAAAATGCAAAGTTTTATAAGCCCTGCATTTATTGATATAGGAAGATACTGATGTAAGAAGATAAGAGATTTAGGCTGTTAAATACAGCCTGTGGGGAAAAAATGGTCTGGAGTATGCAATTACTTACGTGTCTGGGCTGCTGCACGTGCAAAACACACTACTTTTATTGTATTGGGTCTTCTTATGTGATGGAGGCGGGCAGAAAAAAAAAGTCTATTTTCTTCATGTATAATGTAATGCAATACCTAATTACATAATAATATATATTACAAAGTACATTTTCTATAGACATGCAAAAGAAAACTTACACAACTGCATTGACTCCTCTGCAATAACGCTCCCACATGCTTCGGAACCTTGGCTGTCCTCCAATGTCCCACACCTGAAAAGGTAAGAACACTCCAGCCTCAAAATATTTTTTAACTACATAGCCCTAACCCAACAGAATAAATTAACTCTTATATGCAGCATGCAGGCTGCATTGCAAATTCCAAAATTTTATTAAAAGATCTTCTTGGCCCCTTCTAGCTAATGGAGGAGAATATGTCAGGCCAGTGACACTAAAAGCACTAAATGCTCTTTTGCAGAATGTTACCCTTTCCCACTCACTGAAAGAAAAGTCTTACTCAGATACTGAAGTGAATTATTGCAAATGCACAGTCTCAAAACAAAAAAAAAGTATCATCATTGTACAAAACAGTTATGCAAGTTAATATTTAATGTGGCTAGGGAGACCTGAGGTAAGAAGGTTATCAGACTTTCAACAGGATAAAGACAGATAGTAAATAAACAAAGAGCGGATCAGAGACCAGACTGAATCCACATAAGGGATGATACTCCCCACTCCAAGGAGCTCCAATACCTCCACAGTTCTCCCAGTGGTTCAACAAATGTGCTTTAAAAGACACATGGATTAATTAATCAGAACCAGAAAGGAAACAGTAGTATAGGTAGGCGTGAAGTGATTAAGTAATGTTTCTTGAAGAAAGAAAGCTCAAATTCTGCTTATTGTATTACAAAAGCTCAAATCCTATAAATACTTACACATGCTATTAATGCCCAGCAACCCCATGGAATTCCTAAATTTGTTAAAACATTAACATGCTATTTTTCTGTACAGGAGTTAGATATTCTGCTTTACTTGCAAAAAAATTGGTATTTTTGGTGGATGACAGTATCTTGTTTCAAAACTGTTTCTCAGATCAAAGTACCAGGTAACATACATACATCATGCAGGTCAAGGTTACATGATAATGTATCTGTTACAGCTACATCCAAAGACAGTTGTGTTACAAGTGACACACAGATTAAGACAGTGATGAACACTGAAAAATAAAAGCAATGGATTTGTTCCTCTGCCAAGGACAAAGAGAAGTTATTATTTCTTATTTTAAGCAGATTTAGCTATCAAAACAATATATACTGTATACCAGATCTAGGAGGCATATATATTACAGAAGGAACTAAATTTGGAAGTAATATATACACAGCAACAAATTATTTTAAAAGTCGTCCTCACATTTACACTATAAATCCAAATTAAGCCATCTGTGGCAACAAAGCTTTTCACAAAAGAGCAAGACTTCACAGACCCATGGGATAAGGCCTTTTTCAATTAATGTCCACTATTTTTTAATTTCACAGCCTGCAAATCATTTTTATGTATCAATTTCTATATAATTTTCAATATCTTATATTTGTATTTTAGAAATAACTATTTCCCAATTCACCATTAAAAATCATTCCCTAATTGATATCTTAACACTCCTTCCAATATAAAATTATTGTATCACCTAAATGGAGAGTGCTTTCTGATCCCCTGAATAAGATCAAAAAATTTTACACATGAAAGAGCTTCTGACCATGAAATGGGTATCAATTAATATCTGTACTGACATTTGAAGCACTGTATCAAAGGTCTGAGTAAAATAAACCTTTATACTTTAAAAGCTTGAACGTAATGAGTATTCAGCATTATGGTTAGGTGACAAAACTTACACCAACACTAATTACTCCAATAACTCATCAAGACCTTGAAACTATCCAAAGCCATCTGGTGCACATCTGTGTGTCTTGAAAAAGAATCTGTATTATCTTCTTGGTAAACCAGAGGAAGAAAAAAAAAAAAAAAGGGAAAGATTATAGGGCAGGCTAGTAGTCAGATTAGATTTTTGGAATGCTGATAGCCATGAAAATCTACAAGATGCTGTAGCATGGACTAATCACAAAATAAATAATACAAGATAAAAAATCCTGGGTTTGTCCTTGCCTGATGATATACTACATCTTGCAGTATTAAATTGCACTGCAGAACAAGATTACTCTCATTAGGAGAAAAAGTCACCTTGAAACAATGGAAAGATAAGTCATTTCCAGTCAGTTTCCCTAATCAGGCTCACAGCTATTCATTAAAGTACAACAAGAAGGACACCATATAGACTAGGTGTTTTTAAAAGAGCTTTAGAACCAATTTTACATTGAACCATTTTACAATTTTACAATATAGTAATAATTATGTGAAATATTAAAAAAATGCATTCAATTTTAAAAAATCCTTACCTCTTTCCCTTTAAAGTCAAAATGGTTTTAACAGTAATTTTCTAATACTCTTTATTATATTGAATAGCCAATGAAAGAGTGAACTACTTAATTCAAAACACAAATTGCTGCACCAAACCATTTTCACAGTACACAACTGAACAGACAGAATTGTGAGAATACAAGAGGTACCCAGGAAGGAAAGGGGAGAGGTCTAAGTGTTAAAGAAGTTCTCTTGCATGAGCCTTGCATGTTTGGTATATCAACTATTTTTGCATCCCAGTATTTAATACACACGTAAAAAGTATATTCTAGGTATGAATGGGGTAGGCAGGAGACTAAACCTTAACAGCTGAACATACAGCTAGCTATAAAAAGAAGTTTACTTGGTCTGGTTGTTTTTAAAAAGAGGCTGGTCTTCAAATTTCTCCCATGGCTTTTACTTACCCCTCAGGAATAAAAGTTTCTTAATATTTAAAAGGTAATTTTACCCCAATTGATAAAATAGTGATTTTAAGAATCAGGAAAAGATTACAGAATGACTATACTGAGAGAAAGTTTCTTTGATACCCGGTACCATTGCCTCACAGGAGATAAAAATCTCAAGGATTTGTTGCTCGGGCTCAATCTCAAAGGCACATATCTTATTGGTACTGCATTTTAATCTGTTTTATTCATTTCTATCTAATTCTATAGTGTAGTAATTCTTATTGCTTGCAGGTCTACACTGTCATTAATTGGTGCAATATTTTAATCTGTAAACTAGATCACCAGGATGTAAACACTGTTTACCACGTACTTACCTGAGATATATCAAATTTTTCTAAAAGAGGAAATTTTGGATTTATCTCTTTCCAATTTTTTCAGGAGGATCTAAGGTTCCATCTTAAGACCATAGCTATTAGCCATGTTTAAGGAGCAGATCCTTTTATTTTGCACAGAGCTCTATCATGACAGTTGAGCAAAAATGCACATGAATAGGTTCAAAGATTTTTTAAAGCTTTCAGTTACAGGAAGGTTCATTAACACTCTAGCTGTGCTTCTTCAAATTAGCTCATATTGTGGGAAGGCTTGATAGTTCATGAGAAAGTTGCAGGAAAAGTGTTTCCTAGATGTCATGTTACATGGCTTTTTTCAGACATGCTGTGTAGGAGATTTCTGGACAGAGATCACAATGACAAATTTCTATCTTGCTGTCAGTGTGTGGGTTCAGTACCTACAATCTCACAGTAGTCAGCAAAGTCTAGACAGCCTTTCAGTTGATCAGATATAACATCTTGTTTAGGATGACAGAATTATGCTGTAGGCTTGACAGCACTGACTACAGGCTCCTCTGACTATTATTAAAAGAGCTTAAGCCTCACTGCATTCATATAGCTGTTTACATGCAGACATCTTAACCTGCAAGATGAATCCAACACTACAAATACTGGAACTCAGAAATGTATCTTTCCTCTTGGAAGCAGAAAGTATTATCCATAAAACCTAACCTAAACAAACAGTTGAGGAATTTGTTAAGCAGAGAGGAGTATTTGGACAGAATAAGGCAGCACCAGTAACATCCACCACTACAGTGTACACAGGGAAGCCTAAGATGCAACCAATGAGGTCACACACACACAGCAGTCATCACATTCACAGACAACTCAGTGTGTAATACAGAGCAACTGGAAAGCATGGGACAACTTCAATCACCTCAAATTTAGGCCTTTAATCCAGGTGACCAAAATTTCTCATTGGCTACTAAAGTGCCCAGAGGGCACCAACAGCAGGAAATTGTTCTGTTTCTTTCACCTACCTTGCCTACCTGGAGAAGCATTCTTGCAAAGCACCCACTGCTCCCCAGCAAGTTCAGACAACTGGCTCAGACTGGGTTACTCACCACATGGCTAAGCTCATGAGGGACAAATCCTAAACAATCACCTATTCTAGACTGGAATCTTCAACCAAAAATATCCATCTTTTTCGCCTAATAAACAGAAGAATAAAAAACCTAATAAACTTTTTAATAAATTGTCCTATGTATACAAATCTACACAGCCGGACCTGTAGTACCTACCAGTCTTGTAACTTACTGCTTTAGAATACTTACTACTTATTATCTTATATATTGGAAATGCCTTCATAGTTGCTCTCAGAGTCAAAAAAGAAGTGCAAGATGGTTACATTTTCTGAAGGCAATATTTCTCAGAACAGTTATGTTCTTTGAAATCAGTCTTGGCCCTTTAAAGAACTCTGTTCTCCCTCCTCACTGGTGATGAAGTCCAACTTTTAAAATAGCATTTAGGCATTTTAATCACATATGCACATTTCAATGTTCATAATTTAATCATAATATTCTCACTAAAGAACTGGAAATAGACTTGCAACACAAATGTTCACAAATTATCTTCAACTCTTGACAACAAGCACAGAAGCATTTTAATGGGAGGGAGTACTTCCAAGTGATCAGGGGCTATTTGCCATTTTATCAGAGACACAAAATACAATGCTAGAAGGATCAACAGGTGGATTTTAAACACAAAAGCAAAGTCCTTGTACTTCTTTAACTTCCAAAGGGTCCTACCAGTCCATTTCTCTAGCCTGTCAAGGTCTTTCTGGATGGCAGCAGAACCCTCTGCTGTACCAGCCACTCTCTCTAGTTTTGTACTACCAGCAAACTTGTTGAAGGTGTACCCTGTCCCACCACCCAGGTCACTAATGAACACACTAAACAATCCCTGGGATTTAGCACTAGTAACAGGGCTTCCTGCTGTGGATCACAGCCCTTCTGAACCACCAGTAGAGCTATTCCTTAGAGACAACTACCATTAAACACTGGGACATCCAGAAAAAAAAAATTTTACAGACAGCTCCTCCTTAGAGACAACTATCATTAAACACTGGGACATCCAGAAAAATATTTTTTTACAGAAATAACCACTTTGACTTGAAATCAGGTGCCAGACAGCACAGCTTCTTCAGAGTGATCCAAGTCATACAGAATAGCCAGTATGTGCTGAAACACTGCTGGAACTACACTCTGAGCACACACACAGGCTTGTATTACTGCATGACATTTGAAATAGCAATATGATAGGTAAGATAACCTGAATAGTAGGAGGAAGCACTACAAAGCAGGAGGATTCTGCTTCTATGAGGATGCACAAGAGACATAAAAACACTACTGTCCAGAGCAGGAGTGCTGCAACAAAGGAAGCTGGCAGAGGAATGCACAGAGCTGGCATCCCTCCTTCTCCTGCCTCTCTGCCACACCAGAGCAAAGTGCAAGCAGCAAGAAGCTCAGCCTTGCTCTCCCGCAGCCAGGCTGTGCAGGGTGTGGTGGAGGGACACCGGCATCTAGCGGTGACAGCCGGGGTGACCACAGCCCACCCCGCCAGCTCCAGTCCCCTGAGCACGCGCTCTCCACTCCTCCGGACAGCTATGGCAGAATCCGCCTGGCCATGCTGTTTTAAGAAAAACAAATACAAGAGCAAGGAAAATGAATCTGTGGCACTATCTGTGTGTACACGTCTGTGCTGCTCTATTTCCTTTAAACTGAGACTGTTCTAAGACCATCACTGCAAGAACCAAAGTTTGCTTAGCTGGAGGTTCTCAATCACTTTAAATAGCAGTTCACGATTCAAGTCTTCTGAGGTTCTTGAAACTTGGCTTGTTAAAGTAAATTTTATTAATTGCTGTCTAGCTTGTTGAACAGTAAATCTCACCTAAAGGAGTCCTAATACTAAGCAGATCCAAAAAATGGAAAAACCGCCAAAATCAAATCACTCACCAAACAGAAAAACTTGTTGGAATTAAAATCTCAAAGCAATTCAGTCAGATATTTTTGTCAGGGAAAAAAAAAAGATAGCCATCAGTTTTGTAATGAACTTCAATAGAATAGTTCTAGCAGAACACTGTGATACATATAATACTTTGATGCTAGAAATCATCCTGTACTTCAATACCTCAACCACAACCTCAAAATATAAAGCTCCTAGCTTAGATTTCAAACACTGTGTGGTAAAATCCTTCCTTTATTGCCTTCTCTTCTTGGAAATAACAGGTGACAGGTTACTGAACATATTGATAAGTCAAAATTTGACAATTCATGGTTGAAGCGGACAGCCTTACATTTCTAAACAGGTTTAGCTTCAATTCAAGAACATCTGAAACCAGCATCTTCCTACGAAATGTTTTGGCTTGAGTAAATAATCAGTGTTTTTCTTTCGGTGTGGTTCAGATAAATACACATACACACACGCATGCCAGTGACCACACATTTACACATTAAGATTACAGAATAAAAATGAAAATAAATCTACCAGCTTTTGGAAATGACTGCCAAAATCAGAAGAAAGGAAAGAAGACCATGGGTTTCAGCTCCTTCTGCCTTCTGGAATTGTATGAAATCTGCAGATGGAACTGAAGTAAAGAAACTGCACTAGAATAGTACTTCCTTCTTAGTGGCCTATCTCAAAATAGAGCAAACAACTAGAGATAAAGAATTAGTATCTTTACCTAAAGAATTAGTATCACCTAATTGCTGGGTTTGCAACTTACGTTTCCAAAAGTGATCAATCTTAATACTTCTACAATGCAAATTTTTCACTTGATGACTTTTTGACCCAGATGACTTCTCAGCCTCAACTTTATAGTAAGTTTAATTAATTCTGTTTTGCAGTGTCCCCTGAAACCTTCAAAAAACATCAGACACATGTCAGGTTTTTGCTTAGCATAAACATCATTCCTGTCATGTTTAAAGAACTTCACGGGTTTAGTAAAATAACACTTTATCTACTAATTTTAATAGTTGACTATCATAATATTTCTATGAGAATGGTTACCTGTTTTGTAGAGTTCATAAAAGGTTTCTAGCAAGAGGCACCGGCTCATCATTCTTGAGTCATCAACTTATTAAAAGATTATGTCATTTTTCTCAAAGTAAAATAATTTTGGAAAACTTATCTAGCAATAACCTAGATACAGAAATAATGGCATACAAGTAGTTTATCCTGACAAACTCTTAATAAGCGTCTATGCCTAAGAGTCATATTACCCCTTCCTTGCACTGAATGCTGTTATAGCAGAGAGACTGTGAGAATGAGTTATCATCCTATGCAGACTGGCTTCCAAATTAAGTATGGGTTTTGAAACTAATACACATAATTAATTATGTTAGCATTATCTCCTTACTCTTAAAAATTCTATTATAGCAACTATCTGTAAAATTACTTTTGAGCTTGAAGAGTAAAACAAGGCACAGTTCCACACTAACTTACCCACACCCTCTCTGCACAACTTAATCTTGCAACATCATTTGCCCAGACAACCCTGGTATAAACTATTAGTCAGTTCCTTCTTGAACTATCCTGGCTCAAATAAATACTTTATCTTGACGACTGCTTACTAGTAAAAGATTTTTGCCTAGTTTAATGAACCATCAACAACTTTTCTGTTTTCTTCTACATCTGACAATTCTGCAACAGCATTGGTACACCCCTTCAACTATGCCTGTGTATTCTCTCTATCAAGCATGGCCTCATTGCTTCTGTGCAAAAGAAAAAAAAAAAAAAAGGAAATTCCTATTCCTGTGGATTATTTGTCAACTATGGTTGAATGCAGTAACTTTTTTGTTGTGGCACCTCTGGAATTTCATCAGTGGTTCAGGAATCATACCAAACCAGAGGAAGAGAAACTATAGAACTGAGGGAGAAAATAAATTATATATTATGGAAAAGGAGGGAAAAGTCAAGGTAAAAACAAAAATCTAGATTCCCTTGATTTAGCTAGAAGTTGTGAATTTCATCAAGACTAATCAACCAAGCTCCCTTCATAATCAAACAACACAGTGCCTTAATGCTACCGGAGTGATTTATCTCTATTTTGATGCTTATGTGTCTCTACAGCTGATTCTGTGATAACTGAATTAAACTAGATGTTCTATTCCAGCAAAGCTAATGTGTAAGCTAAACCACACTCCCCACTGAGACTCCCAAGTCAGGAGTCAAGTCGCTCCAGATTTCACTTACAGCTGGGAGGAAGGGGGAAGGAGAAGAGAGAAGATAGATACACCCCCAGGAGTCAACTCAGCTACCTCAGAATCTCCACATTTTATGACCTTCCTAAATCAAAAAAGTGCAACAAAGCTTCTGCCTGGCATGGAATACAATGAAGTCAAACAGATTAATATAACAGAGAAATATATTACTATTGCTTTAAAAAAAAAAAGTTAGCATGGAGATAGAAAAACAGATAAAGGACCCTATAATCTTAAAAGAAATTTCCTGTCTTTCATATTTCCAGTTGAAATTACTCTATTATTTATTCATTCTGTATCAATTCAAACATGCACACCTACCTTTATGGTAACATTGCCTTTTGTTATTTTTCTCATATTGAAGCCTACTGTAGGAATCATATCTTCTGTGAACTGCCCCGACTAGAATACAAAACCAAAATTATATTTATTATAAAACAGTTGATACGTACAAGAAAGGTTCTCATTTGCAATCTAAAAAGTGTTACTTTTACAATACTGTAAATTATCACATTCATTTTCAGCAAGAGCACTGGCCAGCACTTCAATTACTGCATTGTCACATCACGGAAGACTGTTCATTTCAGTCCCTTTAAATGATCTTTTATTCTCTTCAGCAACAAAGATCACCCCAGAAACCACGAGACTTCAGACAATTCTTTATCTGATCCTTTGGCAGCAAAGCTAAAATATAGAATTGTAGATGATTTGAGTTGAAAGAAACCTTCAAAGGTCACCCAGTCCTACCCTCAATATGATAAAGTATTATAGAACTGGCTACACCATGATTTTTCCTGTAGTTTCGCTCTACTGTTACCAGTAGTTTAACTCCAAATATAAAAACAGTGAAGGACTTCCCATGCAGAGAGAACTATGTGCGGACTTGCTCCTTCTGTGCAGGTGACAGCAGAGGAATCCTGCCACAGAGTTAAGAGAATGCCATTAAGACAGGAATGTACAAGGTGCTAACTCAAGTGTACCATAAACACCAAACACAAAGCCCGAGCACAAAAGTGCTGCCTCCTCCCCCAGTTCAGAGAAATATTTTCACAATAGAGACACTTCTCATCAAAGCAATGGGAATCTTACTTCTACACACTACAGAAGACACCTTTTGAGGATAAAGACAGAACTCAGATCTGAGTAGGAAACTCATCACTCATTCTTCCCTTTGAAAATGAATCATTAACGAGCTATTGTGTCTCCTGGACACGACAGAGTAACATAGGCACTTCATTACTTACGTCCATACAGAGGCCCAGGTGCTCTCTGAAACAGACACAGCAATCCTGGTTTTCCAATCATCCAGCAAAGAAAGCAGCACCTTCCAGGCCTGCCACTGCCCTTCTGCATCTATCTGCCTATATTTACCTACCAATCCGTGTGCCCTGGGTTGTTTGGTGTTTTTTTGGAAGAAAATATGGGTATATGGACAAGGCAGGATGCAGTCATGTTCCATCAGTTCCCTCTCATCTGAGAAATCAGAGCTTGAGGGTGCACTGGAACAGCAAGGTCTCTCCATCTATCCCTCCACAGCTACTCCCGGGATCTGTACAGTTTTTGAAACTTTTCTCTTTCCTGTTTGTGGTGAAGTGAGAACACACTCTGCCTCCAGTTTGCATTTACAATTAAAGGCTAACAGTTTTTAATCGGGGGCTTCAAAAGCTGTATAACTTTTGAGTTACATGATTGTCTGACAAGATTTTGGAATTAGATCCATCAGGAAAGAAACAAGTTGAACAAGAAATCCATCAGTTGTTTGTTCAACCTTACTTATGGGAATCTTCTTGCTAAATTCTGTACTATACATATTCACCATCTTTTGTCTTTTTTTTGTCTTCCCTGCTTCAGTAACTTTTCAACAGCAATAGGGAAAAAAAGTGAAAACAAAAGGCTCTGCAGTTTCATACAGATACACATACCCAGCACTGACAGAAGTTTTTAGCTGGATGTAGTAAGACAAACCCAACCAGCAAAGACCAGTATCAGTACTGGTCTGCCCAGGAAAATGGTGGTCACCATCCCTGGAAGCATTTAAGAATGGACTGGATGTGGCACTTTGTGCTATGGCTTTGTTGACAGGATGGTGTTTGGTCAAATGTTGGACTTGATGATGTTTGAATTCTTTTCCAACCTTAATGACCCTATAATTATAGGATTTTTTATAAAATATGTAGTATCTATATTTCTGGAGGACTGTATAAACACGTGCATAAACACACATGAACATATAAACACTGAAAATGTAACATCATTACTCGAGGACAGGAATGCCTGGAAAACCAGACAGTTGACTCAAGAGGCTGTAGAAAGTCAGAACTCTACTTTTGTCAGCAAATTAGACATCACATGTAAATATGCTAAACTGGAAGACAAAAAAATAAATAAAAAAATCAAACCACCATAACTCCTCTAGTACTGCAGATAGAATGTAAAGAATTATCATCCTCTTCATTGGTCTTCAGTCTTTTCCTCTAAAAATTCCCCATTCTGGTTGAATGGAATCAGATACAAAGAAAGTATTATGTCTACAGTTTTTATTTTCCCACACAGTGAAGAAAATAACGGAATCCTGGTTGAATGGAATCAGATACAAAGAAGGTATTATGTCTACAGTTTTTTTTTTTTCCCACACAGTGAAGAAAATAACGGAATAGTTTCAATTGTTTGCTCATGTTAGTCTCAGAGCTGTTAACTGTGTTGCAATGACCTGACCACCATAAAGTAAAAAGTCTGCAGTACTGTGCTTGCTAAGGAAGTTTTACATGACCTAAAATTGCCTTTTTTTGTGAATATTTAAGAAGTGCACCAAATTTCTTGGTCATATTTCAATAAAAAACAAATTACCTCCTGATACAAATGAAAAAGAACTGATGCTAAGAGTTTGTAATGTCCTCTAAAAGTTTCTGAATATTGAACTGATAACGAACACTGTAACTACCACCTACCATATCAACAACCATGGGCCAAATTCTACTGTATTATATCAATGCACATCCGTACAAGGCAGTGACTTTATCCAAGGTTTCCATTGGTAACTAAGGATTAAATATCACTCGAACTCTGAAGAGCAGAGACTGTCTCAAAGGGTGTATATTCAGTCTTAGCACGACAGGATCTTTGAGTGCTCTTGCAAAGTGAAAAAAAATTGTAATTTCCAATGTTTTTTTCTCAATCCACTGCAGCTTGCATTTTAAGTAGCCACTATTTTGCAACAGCTATTTTCATCATCACACTCTAGCCACATATTCACAGAGTTCCCAATCCGTTTGCCCTTCACATATCAATGGTATTCAAGAGAAAACTACTATTAATATGAATATGTTTATTATAGTTACTAAATATATAGTTATTATGTATAACATTAGTTAGCCTTATCCTAATTTTTTTTCAAAATTCTCCAACCACTTTTCTTTGGTGATTATCATGGCACATCATCTCCAGACTGGAGGATCCAAAATCTACAAAACCTGCAATGTGTGACCCTCCCTAAGTCACAAAACATTAATTCCTTGTAGAATACTCTTAAGAAATAACATTTGCAGGGAAAATCAGACCTGCAGTAACAGGAGTGCTCTGGTGTTGAAGATAACATCCCAGAGACAAACACCTACAGTGCCATTCCATTGGTGGAACAGTACAAGGGAGTGGACAGTTACACACAAAGTCTGGCACCACACACTACTGAGGTCTCTGAAATCCTGTGTTTTCTTTGCTCTGTTCATGAAAACAATCCAAGAAGCAATGTAATTTGTCATGCCTTTTTCCCACTCCTCAGCAAGGCCCTCCCCTGGGACATGAACACTTCCAATGGGCGTAAAATGCACCAAGGCCTATCTTAAGAAGATTACCTGAGTGCCTGACAAACCAACCAAAATATCAGCTACAGGTGTGTTCCACTGATTGCTGATGTCACCCAAAACATACTTTCACTGGGCATTCGCCATTCTTTTTTCTCCTGCTCTCTCTCCACTTCTTCATTCACAATAATGCATAATCTCTTATTTTTCCCTTAATCCATAATCATATACAAAAGCAAGTAACAAATATCATATACTCAGGTTTTCATTGCCTCAATCTCTCTGACTTTAACCCATACACCTCCCAGTCTGGTTTTTAGCTTTCCATGATAAGGATTGAAGAACATCTAGAAATTTTCATCTCATAGCACCTGAAGCTGTGATACACCTCACAAGAGATACCACCTTGCAGAAATGCTTCACTAAGCTTCACGATCAGTAGTAAGCAAATATAACATATATACATATTTATTTCCACCCTCTGACAGAAAGCAAATCTTTGGGATGGACCCAAATGCAATTTGGAGGGCACAGCAAAGAAAGAGGAGAAATGTATTTCGGCATGGTGACAAGAGACAAAATGTCGTGGTAGGTGTCAGCGTTAGAGAGGCTGCAAGGCCATCACCAGAGGGGGAAGAGAATGCTGGAATCAGACTTGAATGCTGGGGAAGAACTATGGAGGATTTGTGGAAGGCATCAGTATTGCTGCAACTGCTGGGAGGAGAGCATTCAGTAACGGGCAACTCGAGTCCTTCAGGGATGCACAGAGCATTATTCTGGGAAACACCGAACGTGGAAAGCCAGCCTGAACCACGGCAACAGCCCATGCCCACGAATCTGCTCCAAGACGGGCACACTTCGCAGCCAGACCCAGCGTCCTCCTCCCTCTGAAAACACTCACACACACCTTAGCTTCCTGCTGTGAAATTCTCGAGGCTGCAAACGATGCAAAAGCCGCCTCATGCTCTCTCCCGCTCTCCCTCCCTCCCTCCCTCCGCATCCCTCCGCATCGCCGCGGGACCTCACGGCGGGCGGCGGCATCACCGCAGCAGCAAAGCCCGCACTTGTTGCGGGGAAAGGCGGCCCCGGGCGGGCGGGCGGCCCCTGCAGCCCCGCCGGGCGGCCGCGCCCGCCCCGCAGCCCCGCGGCCCTGCCCCGCGCTGGGCTCCGCTCCGCACCGCCCTGCCCCGGGCCGGGCCGCGTACCGCCAGCACGGTGAGCAGCGTGGTCTTGCCCGAGTACTGCAGCCCCACCAGGGTCAGCTCCATCTCCTCCTTCCAGAACAGCGAGCGCAGCCACTCCAGCAGCCGCGCCACCAGCGACAGCATCCCGCCCAGCGCCCCCGACCTGCGGCAGGCGCCCAGCCCCAGCGGCACCGCTTCGCTGCTGGGCATGGGAGCGCCGGAGGAGCCGAGGCAAGCTGAGGCGAGGCGAGGCGAGGCGAGGCGGCGGCGGGGCTCGGGCCGGGCTGGCGGCGGCGGGGCTGCGCGGGGAGCGAGCGCCAGGCAGGGCCTCACGTGACGGCGCCGCCGCCCTTCTCCCGCCGCCACCCGCTGCAGACAGGGAGGGGGCTGGGATGGGCCGGGATGGGCCGGGCCGAGCTGGGATGGGCCGGGCCGGGATGGGAGCGGCCGCAGGACCCCGCGAGCGGCCGGCGCTGTGCGGGGCCGGGCGGCCCTGAGTGCCCAGCGAGGGGATGCAGCCGCGGGAGGGGCAGGGCGGCTCCCGCACCGCCGGGATGCTGTGCGGGCACAGCTGGTCCCTGGGTGTGGAAGGATGGCACGGCCCGGCGCGGTCCTGCTGCCGTGGGCGGGCTTTGCAGCTTCCCCACCCAGCGAAGGGGGCCCAGGGCGCGCTGGCAGCGCTGCCTTGCCAGAGTCGGTGGGCTGGGGCTGCGTGACAGCATTGTATGTTCATCACATCTGGTGGTGGCAGTTCTCACACCCCTAGACTAGGACCTCTACTGTTCCCAGGAAACTCTTCTCGAATTCTTCATTGTGTAGTGACAGGCTTCCAGATCCAGGACATAGCATGGTTTTATTTGGTTTCTCCTGTGATAATTTTTGGAAAATCACCCGTAGTATGACTCCTTGCCTCAAGAGGTGCTTGTGATGGTGGTTTTGTGTTGTGGTCAATGATGAGACATGCTACTTCACCAAGAATGTTCTGCCTGCACCAAATAAACGACATTCAGCATAGTCTTGCCATAGAGCATTAGAGAAAGGCTTGTTTTACCCGTACACGTGGGGTAAAACGTCTGGATCCATCTGCCAGTCTCGGAATTTGCAACTGAAATGTGATGCTCTGGAAAGGTTGTAATGCTGGTGGTATTGGTTGAAAAGGACATTCATACAGGTGACAGGGCTAACACGTCTGGATCCATCTGCCAGTCTCGGAATTTGCAACTGAAATGTGATGCTCTGGAAAGGTTGTAATGCTGGTGGTATTGGTTGAAAAGGACATTCATACAGGTGTAAAGCACATGCACCTTTACTGTGGATACCTTTTGTATTGAAACATGACACCATCACTAAAGCATTTTGAAATTTGGTTTTCGTGGTATTTTTAGAGACATAATTCAGCAATCTAGAGGATGCAGTTTGTGACAAAACTTCACTGGTTGTGTCAATTGGACCATAAAATCTTGAAGCTCCCAAGAGCAGTTGGTTGTTGGCTAGCTGTCAAGGCGCAAAACTTCATAGTTTTTCATGCCCTGGTTTTAGATATAGTCAAAATTAGTAGTGTAATTCTTAAAGTACTGAGCTATTACTCTTTAAAATTTAGTTGCACATTTCCAGAATTAAATTGGGCACTGGAGCTGGCCCTGCCACCCAGTGGTAGTGTTGGGGAATAATTTTTCATTGCTTCTCTTAAATCTGATTGCTTTAGTACAGATTTTCTATTCAGCGGCAAGTCTCAGTCAAAAGAGGGCGCTTCTTTTTTATTATTATTTGTTTATTTTTTTCTTCCCCAGTAGCTTGAGGTTTTGTTCTGGCTACAGGTAGTCCATTTCTCCTAATGCTGTTCCCTAGCATTGGTGTTTTGGGTGGAGTCAGAATTTTGAATGCCACTCTTAAAACTGTGACACTGATCGTGTCTTTGTCAGTTTCAAAGCATGATATAGCTCTTGAAGTTGCTTGAGAATTGGTGGCAGAGTGAAAGGAACCAGGTTAGATCCTGCACAGAAGGAGAGCACAGCAGAACTCTGCAGGTTTACTTGTCTCTGAGCAGCAGCCAGATGGCTGCTCCATACATAGGTTCATCCTCACCAGCAGTCACAAATGTTTCAGCCAGTTTTCCATTTACACTACAACTGAATGGGGAAATGAGTGGAAAAGTTGGTGAAGTGATTTGTTCTGGTTGTATGTGTAAAAGGACTGGGAAATAACTCACAGGTAAATCACTAAACTTTCATTTTTCTTCTGTGTTCTTGCAATTTTTAAAAACTTGTTTTGGCCAAAGCAGTTACTGAATTTTGGGTGAATAGGTGAAATGTTTCTGGCTGCCTTAAAACTGAAAAATATAAGAATTCCCCCCATATCCCCTCATCTGGTGATGTGTAAAATAGTCAGTCCAGACTCAGATTTGTAGTTCAAAGCATTACCAAAGAGATTCAACCACATTATCTATATTTTAAGCATACATTTTAGTGACAGCTGAAGATCTTAGCATGATTATGATTGGAAAAGACATCCAAGATCATCGAGTCCAGCCATTGAGTGATCACCACCTTGTAAAATAGACCATAGCACTAAGTGCCACATTTAGTTGTTTCTTGAAAGCTTCCAGGGATGCTGATTCAGCCACCTCCTGGGCAGATCTTAATGAGAAGAAGCTTTCAGCTGAATGAAGTCTCCGGAGAAGAGAGCATGAGAAGAAGTAATGTTTCACTGGTATATTCAGGTTTATCCTGACATACCAGATGTTTGGGGGAAAAACCTGTAGAATCAGTTATTTCTGCTGGTGAGGCACTACATTAGGGAATGACTAGTCATCTGTTCTGTTTGTAGGCCAGAGTCAAGCAGCTTCATTGCTGAAGGGAACAGAAAACCGTGTTGAACTTCTTAGTGAGATACCCACCAGTGTCTGCATGTGTCATCTGTGCCCTCTGCTGGCTGCAGCTCCAGAGGCTCTAGTATGTGCCCTGAATTCTTGTCATGCTCTGGTGAGGGAAAAGGTGAAGAAGGATTTCTGTAAGGACTGTTAAAGTGGCAGATTAAGGTTTTTAACTCAGAAATGCTGTGATTTCGATGCCTAAACTTGGTATACGCAGTTCATGCTGAAATAGTACATAGGATTTACAGGCAGCCTAAATCTGTCGTTAGTCCAGCGCCCTTAATTACTGGCTGCTCCAGAAATAAGGTACTTTGTGATCTATTGTGACATTAACCATATTATTGTTGTGGGACTGCAGGGTGCCCTTAGCCTCTCTTTAAACAGGCGGTTGTTTTGCCCCTGCCTCAGGAAATCATCACTTGACACAGGCAAGCTGTCTCTTGTCTCAACCTGCTAGCAGCCTGAGGGAGCAGTGTGGTCCATGAGACTGCTAACATATGGTGTATTTCTTCTGCAGGATCCTGAAGAGTTCTGTTGAATAAATATATTTCCTGATATGAAAACAAAGACAGGTGATTGCATATTGTCTAGAGCCCACATATATATGGTGCTTAACACCACCCTCTGGAATTGTGTGCACAGAGCCAAATTGAATATATAAAGTAACAATCCACATTAAATTTCATGCTGTCTGTTTGTGTCTGATTTCTAATCAGTAAAATATCTTATCAGTTATAAACTAAGCCTTATACAAGTATATACTGAAAACTGTTGTTTAATTACTACTGACCAAGGAGAACTACAATCAATATATCAAGATGGTGGTAACACATTAGTGAACATAATTAAATCCAAATTTATTCCCTTAAGGATGTTAATATTGATAGGTGCCCTTTACATTCTTGCCCTTTACTTTCTTATATATAACAAGGGGACAGCAAATGTGGGAAGCTTTTGCAGTCCTGAGTGTCAGTGACTGTGAAGAGAGTAGCTGCAAGAGTATTGGAACAGCTTCATGAAATAACTATTCTGTAAAGACCCTGGTACTTGACTGGTATACACAAAAGCTTAGAATTTATCTTGAATACAGCATGTTTACCTCATCATCATCATCATAATGAAAAATATTCTGAAGGAGGATTAATATTCAATTAAGTACTTCCAGAAAAACAGACAGGAAGGTCTGGGATAGCCACATTTTGGGAATCATTTAGAAGTGGTAAGGGATAAAGTTAGACCAGTAGGCTTTTTGAATCTGTTTCCAGCCATCTATACAATGGCTTTCAGTAGCACAGAAGAAAAAATTACAAGAACAACAAAAAAAGTCTTTTTTTATCTAGGAAAGATGAAATCATTAAACAAAGCAGTATTTTTTAAGACACACAGTAAACGGGGGGGTTTTTGTATCAATGTTTTTTTTTAAATGAAACTCATTACTTCAACTTGAAATCTCAGGCCCTAATTTTGCTGGCTATCTGCCAGTGCAAAAGAGCTGGCACAAGCACAGTGTGAAAAAATCTTTCAAGTAAGTTTTAGGTGCATATGTTTAAATGACGGAATTTAGTTGTCATCTTAAAAAGGTCATCACTGCTAAAAACTGAATGTGTTTTAAAATTATGTAACTGTCTCTGCTGTCTTGTTGTTTGTACTGAAAAGTGATGGATAGGTACATGTAGAAATCTAATCTGTCTGGAAATTGTCTAGAACATATTGCACAGGTCTGAAATCTTCTGTACAATTCTTTGCTAGTATATATATTTACAACAGGATATTCCAGTGTGATGCAGGGAATAAAGCAAATTTTGCTGAACTCTTCAAAATTCCAGTCTCATCCTAGGCAGTCTACAAAGTGATCTTGCTGGCCTCTCAAAAGATCTCTCCATGTTGTCATTTTTACCAAAAAAACCACAAAAATACCTGTAGGGTGATGATTAGACTATCTTTTTATTCTGTTCAGATTCTTTAAGTGCCAATTGCCATCTCCCTTTGAAGTACAAATATCTTTGTATGTCCCAGAATAAGCAACACAAGAAACTAGATCTAGATTATTCAGATGGAGAAGCAGAATTTCAATTAAAAATCTAGCATAATGTCAAAACATCGAAGGAGGGTATTTAACAGCTTTCACTTAAACAAACCCTTTCATCAAACCCGCTTTGCATTTCCCTGTCCCTAAGTATTGCCAGCCTGAGATTTCTCTAGAAAGGAGAAATACAAAATAATGAATGGCAATCAAAGTGAACTGTTTCTCTAGTGTTTAATCTTTTCAAAATTACAAGAATGCAAGAAATTAAAACTATAAGGCTAATTTATGATTACAGGCAATACAGTGAATAGAAGAAAATCTCTTTGGAAAAGGGTCTACTTTAGGAGAAAATAAATTTGGCTTTGAACACATGACAGCCACCAGCAATGCAAGGCATAGTACTCCTTTCCTTCTTTTTTCCTTTTACTCTGT